CAATATAGTAACCCTTGTGGATTTGCTACTGTCCTGTTTTTACCAATAGTGTTCTCATTGTTTTGTTTTGATCCATTTAATTGTTTTGTTTTATTTCCTTTAAAAAATAAATTAATTAATTGTGCCAGGTATGACGGCACACATCTGAAATTCCAGTAGTTGGGAGGCTGCCATGAGTTTGAGGCCAGTCTAGCCTGCATAGTGAGTTCAAAGCCAGCCTGAACTACTTACAAGACCTTGTTTAAAAAAAAAAAAAGAAGAAGAAGAAGTCATAGATAAGCCAAGGTTATTGATAACCAGCCATACTCCCTGACTGGATCAGTACTGGCTAAGTGGCTATACTTGTAACCCTATAGACTGACTGCAGTTTGACCTGTGTTGGACCACACTCCTCCTCCTTGTGAACTTTGCTGCATAAGTTAACCCTGACAAAGGGCTTGGTGATAACCTACTCAGGACCTCTCCTGTCTCCTAGGAGCTGTTAGAGTTTTCTGGCACGATAGAGAAATGAAAAAGTACAAAAAAGAAAAAAACAAGTTTACTGAGGACGTGGAAAGAGCACACAGCCATGGTGGTTGGGCTTCTCCTTCAAATGGATAGAGAGGCAGAGGGTTATGTGACCTCTGATCAGAAGTGACCATGGGGAGGATCTTGGGGGTTACTGATGATGGGTGAGGAATGTTTGGAATTCTCTTTGCAGACCGGAAAGGGATCTGTAGTTAGGGCTGAAGAAGAGGAGGAAGGGGTAACAATCCCACTTTGCCCTTCTGCCGCGTTAGACCATAGCCGTATTTTACAGTAATTTATACTAGGGCAAGAATCTTTCAGGAGCTATTCCTAACCCCCAATAAACCTTTCCTACTCTTAAAACAAACAAAAAAAGATGCTTCTGGCACACATAATAGAAAACCTTGTACTGCCTTTAGCAAAATGAAAAGACAGTATTTATTACAAGAACACCAATATCTCTTGGGAGCCAATGTTAAAAATTCAACCAGCCCTTGGAAAAGACGGAAAGAACTGACAAGCAGATGGAATCCAGGCAGTCCTCTTGACACATCTTATAAGCAGGATAGTTTTCTCTTGTCAATTCATGTGAGAAGAACACAAAAACTATCCTGAAATTTCTGAATTTACATATGGAACATGCCAGACTAACTCTCTTTACCTTTTTAAAATCCTTAGAAAAAGAAAAATCTCCTTAGCTCGATTTGTTTCATGACCTATTAACAGATGCAGACAGTGCTGCCTGCCGCCTATGCCTGTGAGCGCGGAGGCCTTCAAATAAATTCACATTAGGTCTTGGTAGGCTGAGGAGGCAGTACAAACAACGTTGCTGCCGCCGATCTGGGAGCCCAGTACCTCTCTCAAATTCAACAGCACAATGAATCAACCCTCCTTTCTGGTGGTAAGTGACTAATGGAGCAGAGAAAACCCCAAGGGGCTAAAATCAGTCTCCCTTCCGAGAAATAATCAGTATAAGAATAAGCAGTGTTGGCTTCTCGGTGACATACTTAACCAGACTTCTCTGCCAAAATATACCGGTAGAATAAAATGTCACATTAGATGATGAGTGTTTACTTTATCACTGTTCTGCTTAAATCCTGTGAGTTAAACAAATAAAACCAAAACTACTTTATGATTAAGATGACCAAAAGTAATTAGACTAATAATAAATCAATTTGCGTTTGTGTACTTTATTTGGAAAAGACAAACAATCTAAATGTTAACTTTAAGAAGTCTGTGAACTGACAGTTATCTGATGTTTTGTTAGACTTCACTTTACTAGAGGATTTGCTAGTGAAGGTCAGTATGGCACAGCCTCCTTCGGAAAAAATGCATCACTTTCAAATATAAATTCAAAGTTGAGATTTTTTTTTAAATTAATTTTATTTTTTCCTTTTTCCTTTTTTCCCCTCCAATCCATTTTATTTCAAGGATAAAAAGAAAGAAAAGAAAGAAGAAAAATAAGTAAAATAAATTTAAAAATAAAAGAATTAGGTATATTTTCTGCAGACTTTCCCCTTAAAGATAAATAATTTGCAAGAATAAGTTCTAGCAACACCTGAAACCACTTTTTCCCTAACAGATAATAATTCGCGTTAACTAGGCTTTCTCTAAATATGTTCTCCTAGTCTCATTTTTCAAACTATCTGCTAAATTTAACCACGAAAGCTAAAATTATTATTTTTTCCATAAATGGTGCTAAGGTACTTTAAAGGAGGGTGCAAGGTAGAAATACATCTTGATTTTATTCTGTCTATGACTCGGAGAATTTCTTATTTTAGTTTCTTATACTATGAGCTTTATATAATGACAATGTTTCACAATGTTATTGTAATAAAAGATGAAATGTGAAGACTTAGAAACTATGAAAGTTAACGTTCTGTCTGGAATTTTGGCATTGCTTTACACAGACATCATTTGCATCCTCCTCCTGCAGGGCCTCAAGTAAGTTAACAATATGTATAGTTCCAGAATGCTCTGTTACTTTTAAAACATTTTTGTAAATGTTACTTATCTGGTGATGGAAGCATCACCATCTGAAGAGATCAAAGCTCTGAGATGCCAAGTAGTAAAACTCGGATTTGTAGCTCAGATTCAAAGCCCACTGTTTGATTTAAGGTCTACCTTCTTCCTTTACTGTAATGGAACTCGTCTGTTTAAAGAAACTTCTAATCCAGTTTCTTATCCTAATTTATAATGTAGGAGTTAGAAGATGAAATCTATTGAAGAATGTTGGGCTCACTTTTCTGGACTGATTGGAGATCCGAGAACATCCTGAAGTCACTAACATTTTAAATTCCTTTAATTATTTCTTTAACTCTTAATCCTACTTTTTCACTTATCTGTCTATGCTTTCATCTTCATTAAAAGCGTGGCCTTAAATTTCAAAACATTGCAGGATGACATCACGGACTGATACCAAATGAGAGAAAACAAACTAAAGAGAGGAATAAATGACAAGCCTGATGATTTGGGACACGGGTTTGGCATAGGCCTAGTAACACATACCTGCTTTGAAATGATTTCTTAATGTAGATCTCAATCTCTTTATGGGTCAACAATGCCAATTTCACTGTGATTATAGTGAGAGCTAAGTAAACATATGATGGATGGGTACTGGATGGCTAATGAATGTATGGGTGATGTATGGCATGTGTATAAATCAATGTATTAGTGATCAGCAGAGTAGTTGGTACAAAATAAATACAGAACAATGGAAATTTCAATAGTTAGGTCAGTGAGTCTTTAATAATTCATGTTTGGAAGAGGTTCTAAACATGGGTGATTCACACCAAGGAGGCTGAACACTAGCCAACAGCAAATATCAGCTTTACATTTGCCTGATTCTAGGTCCTGATGTAAGTGCTGATGAAAATGCATATTAGGTGATAATTCGTTCAATGGAGGCCATTTAAACGATGTCCTTAAACAAAAAAACAAAATTTAGAGTTTTCTTATGAATGGAAATGCTGCATGCCACGTTCCAGCTCCAGCCTGTTAGATATTTCATCACCAGTTGTGTGTAAGAAGCAAACCCGTGCATGGCAGATGGCAGCCCCATTCCGGCTTCTCTAAGTGGCTTTCCTCCTGCTCACACCAGTCTGAGGATGCGCTGAACTGAACACATCAGATGACTCCTAAGTACTGAACACTACTTCACAGTGTGACTCAGACCTCCCTGGTTTCCCCTCATCAGTGACAGCCAAGCACTGAAATATGGTCTGAATTCAGAGTCCGGATCTGATGAAAATTTATATGCCAATTGTCATCTGATTTCAAAAAGTTTGTGTGTATATAAAGGTATAGACAAATGAAAAAGTCATCTCAATCAGCCACTAAGTCCTTTATAATAATCAAGGTTCAAACAAGCAACTGGGCTTCATGTAGTCAACACCCAGGTGAAGGAGGGGAGGACTAATCTTGATGTCTCAGTTTTCTTTAACCTCCTCGTGTTTGGTAATTACTGTTTCACTTGTTAAATAACCCCCTTAAGTCCGTGAACTTCTCTGTCCTCCCTGCAATGCCTGGCTAAGCCACCATCTATCGCCTGGTCTCCCTGCATTTAATCTCCCTCCTACCTGTAGTCAGACAGATCTCGCCAAAACACACGTGTGGTCCTATTTCTGCCACTGCTATTTTCCTGCAGCTTAAAAGCCTTCAGTGGGTGCCTTTTATTCTGATAATTAAAGTCAGAGCACCCAGCATGGTCTATAAAAGGCATAGCGTTCTTAGTTACCACAGTGTACTTAGTTATTAGGATTCTTTGTAACTAAAACAGAAACTGACTCTGGATTATTTTAAAAAGTAAAGAAAAGTATTAAAAAGATATTTCCACTAAGAAGAAATTTATTTTGACCCGTTCAGACTAGAAGCAAATTTATAAATTAGGCACGGTGCACATGCATGTAATCAGCGCAGAGGAGGAGGCAGGAGGGCCACCCTGGGGCCCAGCCTATGCAGCCTGCTGAGACCTGGTCTCAGAAAAAGACTAAAGCTATAGCTTAATGAGAAGGCTGAGGCGGAGCTGAAGAATTAGACGCCACAACACGCACTGCCCATTCTCTTGACACCACAGCTAGAGCCGCTGCCCCACCTGCCAAGAGCAAGGGAGAGTTTCTGGCTACTGTGCTTCCTATTCCTGATCCAAAGATCGGGTGGATGCACCTGATGGGCTGAGGGTGGGTCAGGGGTGCAGAGCTGCTGTAAGAGACCAGCTGTCCTGCACCAAGACTGATAAAGTAGAGAGTTTCCCAAATAAGAGGTGCTTCAAACGCTGAGCCCCTCAAACAGGAAAAAAGAGACAAAAGGAGGAGGAGAAAGGGAGAGAGAAGGAAGGAAAGACGTAAAGAAGGAAGGAAGGGGGGAGGGAGGGAGGGAAGATTTTATACTATATATGGTCTGTGACTCGGCCCTTTGCCCTAACCATCCCTGACGCAGGCAGCCAAGGTGAAGGACCAGGAGCCAGCAACCCAGGAAGCTCTCATCACACTCACCTAAAGGAGAAAGGAGACGGTTCCTGGATCCAAAGGAAATAGCAATAGGTGTTAGCAAAGAACTCAGTCTACGTCTGGAAGGGAGGGAGCAAGGGTCTGCCAATCACACAGGCTCTACACTCCGCCTCTGCATCTTTCACTGGCAAACCTGCCTGCGACCAAGAGATGGAACGGAGTAGAGAAAGCACCAGGGCAGACACGGGAGGTGCACTGGAAATGAATCCAGGGTTGCCAGTGTCCTTGTTTGAAGTCCTTTTCCTTACTAGTACTGGATTCTTTCAGTAATTTTATAATCATTAATGTCTCCCAGGCTGACCTTGAATTTACCATCCTCCTGCTTTAGCTTCCTGAGCAGCTGGGATTCCAGGCCTGGGACACTATATCCAGCTCTAAAATTATTTGCTATTAGTAGATTGTAAATTCTCTGAGGTCAAGGATTGCATTTGTCCTTTTAAAGAAGTTTATTAGTACATGTTTGCAGTAAATGATGATTACATTATTGTCATGGAAATCTTGTACATGGATGTGTACGCACTGTACATAACGTAGCTTATGTTCTCTGCCTTTTCTCCACTCTCTCTCCTCCCTCCCTCTTTTTTTTTTTTCTTGAGACAATGGCTCACCATGTAGTTTAGACTGGCCTTGAGCTCCTAGTGATCCTCCTGTCTCAGCCTCCCAGTGCTGGGATTATGGATGTGCCCGCCATGCCCGGCTCCCCTGTTTCTATCACTTGGTTTTCTTACTATTTGCATCTCTCTTTTCTTACCCCTGCTTCCCTAGGAATCAGCATAATAACTGGTATAGAGAAAGGACTCAATCAAAATTTCTTGGGTTAATGGAGATATGTGTGATATGGGAGACTACACTTTAATTAGGTTTCCTGTTTTTGTTTGTTTTCTTGGTACTAAGGATTGAACGCATTGTGCTAGATGATCTCTCTACAACTGAGCGATAGCTCACCCAGCTCCTAAATACTTTAATTCTCGGCAGGTGCAGTGACATGCACCTGTATTTCCAATTACTCAAGAGGCCAGAAAGGAGGATTATCACATCTTTGAGGCCAGGCAGGAAAATAGTGTGACTCTATTGAAAAAAATTTATGATTTTGTCATAATTTGTGACTTATAATGATGGCTGCACCATTTGGTAAAGTTTTAAAAGATAGTGTAATTTTGAGGTGTTGGATAGTTAGAATAAGGAAAAGTGTTTTTCTTTTTTCTTGACAGCCAGGTTATTTCTCAGTTTTCTTTTTGTCCATGCATCAAAATGGCCTTCATCTTGGTGTGATGGCACATAGCTGTAATCCCAGCTACTAAGGAGGCTGAGACAGGTGAATCCCAAGTTTGGAGCCAGTCTGGGCAACTCAGGGAGACAATGTTTCAAAATAAAATAAAAAAGGCTGGAGTGGGGCTGGGGATTTAGCTCAGGGGCATAAGCACCTGCCTTGCAAGTGTGTGGTCGTGAATTCAATCCCTGGTACCGGTAAAAATGAAAAAGACAAAAAAAAAAAAAAAGGCTGGAGTATAGTTCAATGGTAGTAGGTCCCTGAGTTCAATCCCCATACTGCAAAAACAAATAATAAAATAAAGTGTCATTCAATTAAAAGGTTTCTGAGAACCTGCTTAGATTGAGTTAAACCTCTTCCCCTCTTTATTTCTCTCCTGTAGTGCTAGACACTGAACCCACAGACTTCACACTGAGCTCTATTCCCAGGCCTTTTTTATTCTGAGACAAGATCTTGGTAAGTTGCTAAATCCACAGCTTCTCTTGTGCAGTTAGCTGTTCTGGTTAGTTTACTGAGAACTCATTCCACAGTACACAGGTAAAAAGCTAACTTAGGCTTCATGATAATCAGAAAGTCTAAACCACAACATACAATGAACATCTCAATCTAAACCTCTTTGCCTTTGTGCTATGTTAAAATATGCCTTGAAACAGACACAATGCCATATGGTGAATGACATATGGTACATGACAGTCTCTATTCATATAGAAAATAGCTAATGATATCTTGTACAGGAAGTACAAGTAGAACAAAATTTGCTTTCTCTGTGTAGGTTTATCCGGTATCAGCATCTAAAAATATTGATTTTCAGCATCCCAGTGGGAATAAGATGGAAGCTCAACAGAACAGGCTGATGTTTTAGATCAGATACAAAGAATTCACCCAACAAAGACAATCTAATCCATGGTTGGGTCAGAGTCAAGGTGATTCAGGATAATATTTAGAGAGACCAGTGAGCAAGACCAAGTGAGATCATCAAGCCCAAGCTCCACTCTGGTCCAGCGGGTCCAGCTCACCCTCAGGAAGCACATTCATCACCCCGGTGTTTCTCCCACTAGCCATGTAGACTATGTTTCCATTTACTGTCCACAGCCCCATCAGGCCAGTGCTGCATTTTTGGAAAATATTTTGCAATATCTCCTTTCCTATCTTGAAATGGAAGTGGAAAGTAATGTAACCACACCAAACACTCCTAAACCAATATACAAATGTAAATATATTAAGAATAAGTAAAACACACGTCACAAGGGGGCGTGGCTGTGCATATTCCTAATCCCAGCACTTGGAAGCCAAGGCAGGACAATCACTGCAACTTTGAAGCCAGTCAGGGCTACATGGTGAGTTCAAGTTCAGCCTAAACTACATAGCAAGACCCTGTCTGAGAAAACATAAAAAACAAATCAAAAAATTTTTTTCAATGTGGTCTTAGGTACCCAGAAGCTTACATATAGATAGAAACACTATGAATGCAGCAACCATGAATGCACAACATATCAAGTCATGATGGAGCCTCAAATGCCATGAGCAGTAATGCCATCCAAGACACAAGATTTCAAAATAGTGAACACACACACACACACAAAAACAAAAAACCAAAATAATGAACACTTAGAAAGTTCCCAGTAAACAACAGTCAACCTTCCTTTGATTTATATGATACTAGAAAATTTTCAATTTTAAAAATATATGAAAATATCTGCTTTATTTAAAAATAGAGCTAAATTAAGGCAGAGATAATAAGTTTTACACCTGCGTGAGAATCCTACAAAGCATTGAAAAGTCTTATTCAAGCTAAGTCTCATGGCATACAACTAATCCCAGCCACTTGGAAGGCAGAAGCCTCCAAATTCAAAACCAACTTGAACAATTTAGCAAGGTCTTGTTTCAAAATAAAATTTTAAAGTGGATATGGTACCACACACCTGTAATCCTAGCACTCAGGAGGCTGAGGCAAGAGAATTACCGAGAGTTTGAGGCTAATATGGGTTACATAGTGAGTTCAAGGCCACACTGCACTTCAAAGCAAAACCCTATTGCACATACATACACACACACACACACACACACACACACACACACACACACAAATTTTAATGTTCTAGAACTATAGGTCAGTGCTTGAATAGCATAGCGGGCTTAATCTCCATTATAGAAAACAACAACAAAAATCCTAATCCACAGAACAAGTTTTGATGCAATAGTTTGTTCTGCACAAACTAGCATGTACAAACTGCAAAGTGTCTGGTATCTCTGGCCCCTTTTCATTAAATGCCTTAGTGAACTTGAATCATCTTAACAAACCAAACTGGGTCTTCAAGTCTCCAGAATGCCACAGGGTACATAATGTCACTTTTGTTGAGAATTGCTGGGCTGGAGGATTCAGTCATCAGCTTTCTGACTATGATGGTATCATGACATTGACATTCTAAACCTTCTTTTGATTAGTACAATTTTTTGTGGCAGGCCCAGAAACAGAATTCCTGTAACTTAAAAAAAAAAAAAAGAGTTTGTGGGAAGGATACTGGGGCAGCTCTCCCAACCAAAGGAAAGCTGAACAACCATCCTCAGGGCATCATTTAGGATTAAATTACAGCAAACAGAAAAGAAAACCCAAAAGAACAATGACTTAAACAAGATAGAATTTTAATTCTCTTTCTCACACACACTGAGTCTGGGATGAGAAGGACAGAGCAGATTCAGCTGGTGTAGCTCAGCCCAGTGAGGAACATGTCATCTTCCTCATCCAGTTTTGGATTCCCTTGCCACCTTAGACTGAGGACTGCAGCCACATCCTAAAGAAGGTGAAGTTGGAAGCAGAAGCTGGTGTTCGTGATGGCATGGCTGGACACACTCAATGCTTCCAGCATGAGGGGTGGAGGACTACGTCCTGCTGTCTTCAGTTTGATAGGCTGAAGAATGGCTCCTCAAAATACTTACATCCTAATTCCTGGAAGCTGTGAACACAGAGCTTTTTAAACATACAATTAAATTAATGCTTTTGAGATGGGAGGATTACCTGAGATGATCCACGCAGACCTAAAGTAATTTTAATAAGCATCCTCCCAAAGGCCTGAGATTAGAAGGAGAGAGAAATATGTCCAAGAAAGTAAGAGGCTGGAGAGAAGTGAAGGAGAACAGTGTGTTAGATTTCCATCACTACAACAAAAGTGACTGAATCAATTTACAGGAACAGGATTTATTTTGGCTCATGGTTTCAAAGACTTCAAGCAGGTGGAAAGTAGGTACAGCAATCTTCATCCTGCAAGGCAGCCTTGGCACATCACTGGGAGCCTGGTAGTGTCCCATTCAGTGTCCCCATCACCAAAAGATCCCCAGGAAGGTCCCTCTGGGCCCAGATGGGCCCGGCCCAGTGAACCGCAAGTGACCTGGAGCTGCCTGTGCTCTGCCTCATGAGCCAAAAGTGTGTGCAGCAATCTCCATTCTGTGGTGCAGCCTTGGTGCATTGCTCAGAGCTTGGTAGGGCCTGATCCAGGATCCCCTACCACCAGGGGACCCCAGGAAGGTCTTTCTAGGCCTAGTTGGGCCCCTCCCAATTACCTCCAAGTGTCCCAGAGCCACTGCACCAGCATCATGAGTCAAAAGTGCATACAGTGATCGCCATCCCACAGTGCAGCTTTGGCACATCACTTAGAGCCTGGTAGGCCCCTCCCAGCATCCCCCATCACTGGAGAACCCCTGGGAAGGTCCCTCTGTGCCTATTTGGGCCACAGCCAGTGTGACCTCAAAGGTCCCAGAGCCACCTATGCTCTGCCTCATGAACCAAAATTACATGTAGCTAACTCCATCCAGCCTTTCAGCTGTGACACATTGCTCAGAGACTGGTAGGACTCCATCCAGCATATCCCATCACTG